CCTCCCTGCCGCGGCCGCGCGGGGCGGGAGTGGCGGAGCCCGAGAAGGCGAGGCGCGAGGAGGAGGAGGGAGAAGCGGGCGCGGGAGGAGGAGGGGGAGGAGCGGAGAGAGCCCACGGCGTCTGGCACCGCCAGTCCTCTGCTAGTCCAGGCTTCGCTCTCCTGCGTCGTACTCCCTCCCCACAGTCTTCCACCCGAACCCGGAGGAGCCCCCTTCCTGTGCCCCCCCAACCTGGGCACACTACTAGCCTTCCCTTCTGCTCCCACTGCCCGCACAGACCCCCTGCCCCCGCAACGTGTTGCCGGGTGGACGCTTGCTTAACATATAATTCGGTTTTGTAAACATTTATGGAGCGCCCTCCAAGTGCCAGGCACTGCGCTAGAGGATGGGGATTCAAAGACGATTGAGGCAGAGATCCTGAATTTGAGAGACCCTCAGGCCGGGGCGAGGAACCGGTCAGACGCGAGGACAACTCCCTGTAACAATGCATCGTGCTGGGGAAGATTTATAGATGCACGCTGCTCTGGGGGCGCGAAGAAGTAAGGGAGGTAGGAGAGGAAGGGCTTGAGGCTGCAAGGCTCAAGTCTGCCCCGGTGGGGGTAGGGGGTAGGGCTGTGTGCAGGGGCTTCTCTTGGGGGACAGGCTCGGAGATGGCCATGACCACCACTGACTTTTATTGTGCTGTCTCTAAGCCCCAGATACTCCTCAGATCCCTTCGCATCACATTAACCCGAGATAGAGACCATTATTATCTCTGCTCTGTAACTGAGGAAACTGAGGGTCAGGAGTGGAAGGCTGTGTAGGGAGGAGCGAACAGGAGCTGCGGGTGAGAGCAGGTGGTTGTGGGTTAAGAGAGTGAGGAGTAGGTAAGTGAGTCCCTTCCCTCCTCTCCAGCAGCAAAGTAAGCGCTGCACATGGTGGGGGGAGCGGGTAGGGGGGCAAGGAGTGGTGGACCCAGAGGTTAAGTCTGGTATCAAGGAGAGGAAAGGGGTCCACAGCCCCACCTCACCCCACCACCACCACCCTCACCCACCCTTCAACCCCCTTCCCAAAGCCTGCAGTGCATGGGGAGGTTGTCAGTGGCAGAGTATGTCATGATAACATTTTCTATCCTTCCTCAAACGTCTACATCAATGCTTTCCCAAATGTAAGGTGCCTAGGAATCATCTAGGGGTTGTGTACAGATGGAGTGGTGCCAGATTCTGCATTTATAGAAAGCTCCCAGAGGATGTGATGCTCTTTGTCTTAGGACTTCACTTTGGGTAGAGAAAGACTACAGGAAGCACATTTTTACCTGGGATGCTTAGTGTTAGATATCAAGAGCCACCCAACATCATTGTCATCAAGAAAATGCACATTAAAGCCACAAGCAGGTATCACCATACATCTACCCTATTATCTAGCAATTCTCCTCCTAGGTATTTTTATTTGAGAGAAATAAAATCATCTATCTATAATACATGTACAAGAATATTCATTGCATTTTTGTTCGTAATAACCCAAAACAGAAAACAATCCAGATGTTCGTCAACAAGTGAATGGATAAATAAACCATGGTATATTTGTACAGTGGTATATTCACTAATCAACAAAACGAAGGAAATGACTATTCAAAAATTATCCCCACCATGCAACAACATGGATGAATGTCAAAATATATTACACTGAATGAAAGAAGGCGGACACAAAAAAATAGTGTGATCTTGATGCTGTCACTGCACTCAGAGCCCTAGACTTGGCTTGTCCAAAAACCCAGTTAATTATCCTTGTACAAATTATCTAAAATACTCCAGAAAAGAAATAAATATTAACAGACCGATTTCAACGGAGTATAATTGTCAAAGAATTCCTCCCTCAAAAGCACCAGAGTTCTGCAGGAAAATTCTACCAAACATTTAAAGAACAGATATCTTTAACTCTTCTTGACCATAGAAATAGAAGGAAATCTTCAAAATTCTTTTTATAAAGTAAGCATAACATTGATAGTAAATGCTGTCAAGGAAAGAAAAAAAAAGAACCAACCCTACAAATCAGGCTGACTTACGAAAAAAATCCTAAAAACTATTTTAGCTGACAGTTTCACCAGAACACCAAAAGAATAATACACCATGATCGAGTAGACTAAGTCACTCTAAAAATGACTTAATATTTGGAAACTAAATGGTTTAATATTTGAAAATCTATTACTATAACTCCATACAAAGTAATGTGTTAATGGATGAAAAGTGAAAAATTAATATTATTATCTCCATAGAGCCTGAAAAGGTATCTATAAATGATTTTTTAAAATATCTTTCAAAAATGAAGTGAATAGAAGATTATACATAGAGTTACCATAGGATCCAGCAGCTCCATTCCTAGATATATACCCAAGAGAAATGAAATAAAAACAAAAATTTGTATGAGATTATTCAAGCAGTATTATTCATAATAGCCAATATTGGAAAAAACCAAAATGTCTATTGACTGATAAATGGGTAAATAAAATGGATAAATACAGTGAAATATTATTTAATAATAAAAATAAATGAAGTATTAATACCTGCCACAATATGGAAGAACATGAAAACATTATACTAAGTGAAAAGAGTCAGTCACAAAAGACCACATATTGTATGATTTCATTTATATGAAAAATCCAGAATAAGCAAATCTTCAGAGACAGAAAGATTAGTAGTTGCCTAGGCTTGGGGGATGGAAGTGAGGAGTGACTGCTTGTGGGTACCAGGTTTCTTTTTAAGATGATGAAAATGTTCTAAAATTAGATTATGGTGACAGTTTTACAACTCTGTGAATATAATAAAAACCATTGAGTTGTACACTTTAAATGGATGAATTTTATGATACGTAAATTACATCTCAAAAAGTTGTTTTCGTAAAAAGTAAATGGTCTAACTCCCCCAAATAAAAGACAGAGATTATGGGACTGGATAGAGAAAAAAAAAAAGCTAGACTTAACTGTGTGCTACTAGAAGAAACTTACCTGAAGCATAAAGATATAGATAGATTAAAAGAAAATGAATGAAAAAAGGTTTACCATGGAAATACTAATTAAGAAAGCTGAAATGACTACATTAATATTGGGCAAAGTAGACTTCAAAACAAGAAATACTACCAGGAATAAGGGAAGATATCATTATGATAAGGAATCTGTTGATCAAGAAGATATATCAACTCGAAATGTTCATGAATGCCATAATTAAACCTCAAAGTGCCTACCATCACCAGAGCAATATCATTTGATATTGCTCTAGGTGTGTTAGCCACCTAGATGAGGAAATGAAAGAACAGGCATAGATTCTAGAAGGAGGCAGCATAAGTGATACGTGGTATACCTAGAAACTCAAAAGAGTTGACTACAAATAGAAATAGAAATGATGAGAAAATTAAATAAGATGGCAGAGTACACAAATCGATATTAAAAATTCAATGACTTTTTTATGAACAAAAATAATTATAAAGTATAATGAAAAAATTGCAAACTAAAATAGCAACCAAAAGATTAAATACCAAGTTATAAACCTAATAGGAAGAGTAAAGGACCTATTGATATATGAGGGGAAAAAACACCTTTAAAACACTAGTAAAGGACATAGACAATAAACTGTAACTTGGATAGGGAAAAAGATAGGTCAGTATTGTAAATATGACAATTTATTCTAAAATAATCTCCAAACCCAATGCAATCCCAATTAAAATTGAAAAAGATTTTCAGAGGGAACTTCTTAAATGCTACTAAAATTCATCAGGAAAAATAAGCATTGGTTTACAGCAGGAAAATTCTGAAAAAGAAGACATATGGAACCAGGTGGGTTGGGGTGAAAGGTGGCCCTAGCCCCAACAGATATGAAACATGTCTGATATGAAAACAATTTTTTAAAGTTTAGTACTGAAGAAACCAACAGCCAGACAGATATAATGGAATAGAAAGTCCAGAAATAGTCCTCATGTATATGGTAATTTAGCTTTTTGGAAAGATGACATTATAAATATATACATTACATATATATGAGGAATTACTAAAAAAAAAAATAATGTGGGGACAACTAGTTACTCTTTATGCAAAAAGAAAAAAAAAAGCTGGATCCCTACCTCACTCCTCACACCCAGTAGGTCACTCCTCACACCCAGTAGGTTTAGGATGGCCGTTCTGAGCAAAATCTAAACCCAAGTCTATAAAGAAAAAGATAGACATGAGTGACTAAGTAAAATGTAAACACTTTTATAGACAAAAACAGTATTTGTAACATATGATATCGTATGCAATATGATAAACAGCTCAATTTTTTAATTTAAATGAGTTCACACTTTTAAAGTTCATACACTTTAAAGAAAAAATGAAAAATAGAAAAATGTTCAAAGAAAATAGGCATTTTGCTACAAAATACATACAGATAGCCAATAAATATATAGAAAGATGCAAGACCTTATTCTATTAGGAATTCTAAACCAGGTAGTGCCCTCTGCGGTCCCCCGGATCTGTCTCTTGCTTCAACAGTGTTTGGACGAAACAGCCCCTTTTTCCAGCCTTCGACCACCCTCCAACCTCTTTTCCAGTCGCAGCCTTTGGAATCTTCTTAGCCATCCTTAGCCTCCGAGACCAGTCAATACTGTGTTTTAAGCTTAATTCCTTATTGCCTAACAACCATGAGCTCTCAAATCTGTCAGAATTATTCCACCGAGGTGGAAGCCACCATCAACCACCTCGTCAACCTGTATCTGCGGGCCTCCTACACCCATCTCTCT